TGGTGTCCCATCACTGGCATACTGTGAGATATATCGCCCACTTGTCTTCCTTGACCTTGGCTTTCTCATACATAAAATGGCTCTACTAATACTTGTTACCTTACAGGTTGTGAGGGATAAATGAAATAACGCATGTGAAGGGCTTTGTAAACAGTCGGGTGCTGCTCAGAAACAGTCCCTATGAGTCTTCCTGCTTTTCAAAGATAGCTTTTTCAGGGGTTTCTATGGTTTGGGCTCTTTCCCCATTGCTTTGCCCCTAATCCAAATGAGTGGAGCTCTTGTTCACCCCAGACCTCCCCTCAGGGCTCTGTGGCGCAGTCTAGGTGCTTGAGGCCCTGCTCTGCCTTTAAAAGGTCTGAGTGGGGAAGCCAGCTGCGCCTGACAGAATGAGCCCCCTCTGGAGACTAGAAGGGTGGAGGAGAAGCCTCCCCAGGCCAGGCAGGGCTGGAGATGGCAGAGTCTGACTTGCATAGAGCATTGTCACAGTCATCTCCTGGAGCTCCAGGCAGACCTGGGTGCAAATCCCACTGGAAGCTCTCTGAGGCCCCAGTTTTTCCATCTGAAAAGTAGGGAATGTTGCAGTCTCACAGGAGATGAAATGAACAAATGAAAGTCAGACATGGGCTGGCCCCGTGGCTCACTTGGGAGAGAGCGGTGCTGGTAGCGCCGAGGCCGTGGGTTCGGATCCTATATAGGGATGGCCGGTGTGCTCACTGGTTGAGTGTGGTGCTGACCACACCGTGCCAAGGGTTGCAATCCCCTTACCAGTCAAAAAAAAAAAATTTCAGACATGCAGTGTCTCTTGCAAGGTAGGTGCTCAGAAAATACATGGTCGTGGTGCTGACCACACCGTGCCAAGGGTTGCAATCCCCTTACCAGTCAAAAAAAAAAATTTCAGACATGCAGTGTCTCTTGCAAGGTAGGTGCTCAGAAAATACATGGTCACCCTCCCTTTCCCATTCTCTCATAAGTACCTTTTGACCTTCTGATGACCAAGGATATAGCCTTTCTGGCCCGTAGGTTCCTCCCAGGCTGGGTACAACACTCTTATCTTAGAGTATTGATATTCGATATTCAGTTTTTTATTTGATATTCACAACAACACTGTAAAGTCTTCGGATGTTCTGGAATAACATGTAATAACATCAACTTTGGGCAAGAAAATGACTTTTTTTTTTTTTTTTTTCAAGGAAAAGCTTGTTATCATAGAAAGAACATTGGACTAAGAAGCAGACTTGAAGACTTGGCTTTTTAATAATAACAGCACCAACAACGACTGAATATTCTGTGCCAGGCATCACTCTAAGCACTTTACATGGATTATCTCATTTGACCTCACAACAGCCCAAATAATGCAGGACCTGTTACTAGCTCCATTTCACTGACAAGCAGTCTGAGGCTTAAAGACGGTGGTGCTTGCTTCAGGCTACATAGCCAGCAAGTTCACTCTTCACCGCCACGTACTGAGTTTCTCCTGAGAGCTTTGCATGTATATCATATGGATTTTTCATGACAACCCATTTCACAGATGAAGAGGCTGAGGCTTAGGGAGAGTAAATAATTGCATGAGGTCACTTAGTTGGAAAGGGACAAAACTGATTTTCAGCCCTGGTCTGTTGCCAAAGGCTGTGTCTCCTCCACACTGTTCCACTGCCTCACTCTGGCCCCACACAGAGGGGTCAACATGGGCACTGTAGCTTGAAAGAGAATCATAATCAAAGAAAACAGATAGTACCAGGGAAGATGTGTCAAGTAAAGGGATGAGGCCCAAGGAGATTTGATAAACAGTGTTGCATCTAGGAGAACTGGGAGGAACATGGAGCACAGGAGAAAGGGTTTAGAACTAACCTTGGGAATGGTTGGGAGGAGGTGGCAGGCCAGCTTTTATGTCGTGCCAGCTGCCTGGTGCTGATGCTGACTGACAGCTTGCCAGTTGTGCAGAGCTGGGCACCTATGTTGCTTCATTACCTGGGCCATGTAATCGTGAGCAGAATTGGTGATTACACTAATTTGGCTGTGGAGCTGCATACTCTCCACCCCCTTTTATACTCTTGACCCCTCCAGTCAGCAATGCTGAAGTCCACCAGCTTGGATGGATTCTCAGAGCCTCCTTGCTTGGCTGGCTGAGGCTTGGCCAGCGCTCTGTGGCCATCTGCCCAGGCTGCAGAGCTCTTTGCTGCTCTTGGCATGTTTAATAGCTTAATTTCTATTTTTCTGTTTGGAAATGCAGTTCACCAGCATTGAGGCAGCAGTGGGTGCTAAAATGGTTTCTGATTGCTATCTTGAATGTTAATATCCTAATACATTTTATCGTCAATGACCTGTCCTCCCTGCCACGAGTTCTCACTGCCCTTCTGCAGAGATAGGCACGCTGCCTGCCTTTGGATGGGCCTTGAAGCCCTTCTGCCTCCTGCATGGTCTTCCTCCCTGCTTTTCACAGATAGCATTGTACTTTGCCAGTAAAGGCCAGAGTCGTGGGAAATCTTTGACTTGGAGGATATGAGAAAGTGTTTCATTTTGCCGGCGGGGTTTAATAGGGATGATCTAATCTCCAAAAAGCATACATTATTCAAATTCCATGCTTTTGGGCAAAAGGGCCCCTGATATTTTTGAACTTGGCAGGGACAGGATTCTGGTTTGGCTCTATTCAGTTGAGCTGACTGTTGGTTTTCCTGATTGCAATTCAGTGCAGGGGCTGGGTTGTACTTGTGGGGGCAGTACTAGGGGTGAGATTTCTGGAGAACATTTTCTTTACCCAGAAACCTAAAATCATGGACTCTTAGGGCGGAGGGATGAGAAAAGTCATTTTGCAGAATCAGCAGTCTGTTATTTGGCCCGCATCTGGATCCCATACTCAGGCAAGCGGCTCCCAGGGGTGCTCGAGGAGCTGCATAGATCACAGCACCCCTCGCTCCCTGTCCTGATGGTGCCTGAAACGTCACCAGTGGCCTCACCTATGAGGCATTAGAGACCCCCCCCTTTTGTTAATAAAGACAAAATTTTGAGGGAAACCATAAGCGCTCTCAACCATCAAAGGCTGAGTCTAGAAATAAAGTGGGGCTCACCAGTGGCTCTGGGAACTGGGGTGGTATGCGGAGAGAGATGCTGGGGGAGGGGGCCTGGAGAACTTCAGTTCCGGCTAAGTGTCTTTGCCTCATAGGGAGCATGTGGCTCTCATGGTATAGCCGCCTCATTTGAATGTCTTCACATGCCCGCCTTCCTTCCTGCAAACGGAGGCTCAGAGGGGTGAGTGATCCCAAAATAGGCTCTGGAAGTTCTGAACATAGAGCCTTTTCCCACCTCCACAAATGTGTACTGGGTATTTTCTGACTAAGATGCAGTGAGCTAGGGACTAGGGATGCAGATATGATTACCATACTCTCTGTCTAGCAGGGGAGATAGACACGTGCACAGTGTATCACAGTCTAATCAGAACCATGATTAAGATATGACTGTGGGAACACAGATGAGGGGGGTACTTAGTTCTGACTCAGCATATCTGGAAAGGCTTCAGAGAGGAGGTGATAATTGATCTTGACAGAGGAGGAGGTGTCCACAAGACCAACTCTTCCTAAGCATTACTGGCTAAATGTGTGCCTGCTCTTTGCTGAGTGCAATGGAAAGAGAAGAGGAGGGGTTAGTGGTTCCTGCCCTCAAGAAATTCACAGCCTGCTGGGGGAGAGCCTGGCACTTGTGAGCCAGCTAAAGCTCTGTGTAGACAGATGGGATTGTGGAGGTGGGGAGAGGCTTGCAGGGGTACTTGGTGATCCAGGGTTTCCGGAGATATTACTCCCTCTCATGCAGAACACAGTTTCTGTAAGGATAGTTCAGACCGTGCGTAGACGCCCAGCCCTGTGACTCTCCTCCTGTCATATGACTTCATTAGCCTGGTTCCGTATGGTAGAAGTAGTTAGCTGGATTTGAGGTGGATGGAGAGGGCTGATGGTAAACTGTTAGCAGTGTTGACTCTCTTCATATGACTTCATTAGCCTGGTTCCGTATGGTAGAAGTAATTAGCTGGATTTGAGGTGGATGGAGAGGGCTGATGGTAAACTGTTAGCAGTGTTGACTCTCTTTACAGCCCTGGTAGAATCTGGGGTTTGTAAAACACAAGTGCAGCCAACTCACAACCTGAGCAAGGATGTCCCTCGATCTCACATAGGCGCCATGTGCATTCTGAGCCTTTGCTTACGCTGTGGCTTCCACCTTGAGTGCCTTCCCTTTTTTGCCTCTGTGACATCTTCCCAGACTGCTCTTCTACACCAGTGTTAGGCTTGTCCAATATTTTATCAGTTGTTCCCTGTCACTCATCATTAAGCTGGGTTTGCATTGTTCTCTGTTTTTTAACTCCCTAATGAGATTGTAAACATCATGAGAGCAAGAAGAATTCTTACGCTTCCCTTGTTCCCCCCAGGAACAGTTTGTGTGGTGTGTAGGACATGGGCTTCTTCAGACGGTCTTGGCATTGAATCTCAGCATTGCCACTTTGCCTTGGAACTTTGAGGAGTGTCCTTATCTGTAAAATGGTTGACACAGGGCTTTTCAACCTCAACACTATGGACTAGATGATTTTGGGCTAGATGATTCTTTGTCGTGGGGACTGTCCTGTGTGCTGTGGGATGGTTAGCAGCATTCCTGGCATCCACCCATTAGAGGCCAGTAGCAGCACTCTTTCTCTAGATATGACAATCAAAAATGTCTCACAATGTTTGCCAAGTGTCCCCTGAAGAGTAGAATTACTCCCGGTTAGAACCGCTGGTATGATGCTGCCTTTTGGGTATGCATTAGACCTCCTAGTGCTGCATCTGGAACCCAGCAGACATGCGGTAAATGTTGATTCTCCTTCATTCCTCATTCACCTAGCACTTGACACACTGTGGGCTGATGAATTGCATGGAGCTGTGACTCTAAGTTTTAGCAGTTTGGGGTGGAACTGTTGCGGAACTCTCGGGTTGCCCACGCCATGCACTAACAGAGTCACTGTCATTTTCTTAACTGCAGATTGATCTGGAGCCAGAAGGAAGAGTGTATGTGATCATCGATCTCTCGGGGTCGTCGGGTGAAGGTAGGAGAGTATGACCTCTCATCCTTGTTCTCTGCCATTGACCGTTTATCTTCCAGGTCTCTTCCTTCCCTCCTTGGCTGGGACATATTATAGTGACATTTAATTAATTGGAATACTTTAAAGGAAAAGGTTATTTTGAAGATGCTTACTTATGCCTGTGTACCAAAAGGGACCAGCCATCTGTTAACTTTGGTGAAGCAGAGGGAAGATTTTTGGCTTACCGAGTGAGGCCAGTAAAGCAGGCGTTTTCACACGTGGTGTGCATGGCAGGCTTCGGTGGAGGGGCAGCCTCTCCCCGGAGGCTCGCGTGGGGTGTGTGTGGGGGATGGGAGGGAAGGAAGGAAGACCAGTTGGCCTAACGGTATTCAGAAATAAAACAAATAAGGTGTCAAACTTTGGAATCTTCCTTCTTTAGAGGTTTTACAGAAGTGCTACTTCTTTTACCAGTTCTTTACACAGGCAAACACCCTGCTCTTAAAGAGAGATAACGGGGTAAACGAGCATCTGCCCTTCACTGGCTCATTAGACAGCATATAGATTTCCTCTTCTTACACCTTCTTCTTTCAATCCTTTCTTTGCTCACTTAATACCTTTGAGGGGTTTGCTGGGTAGTGAGGACTGAGCAGTCAGGATAGAAGGGAAGGCTAGAAAATGAAACGTGTCCAAACAGAAACAAGGAGATGGTGACAGACTTCAGCTCTAAGGAAGGCTGGGAATTAGGACTGAAACTTAGTTGTTGAGACCATCTTTTCTCTTCTCCTTCACTTTCTATGTGTGGGTAGGGGACAGAACAATCAGCTTTCATGGCATGGCAGAGATTGGGAGACCATAGCTGGTTCATCTTGGCAGTGAGAAAAAATGGGGCTTGGGGGCTCTGTTCTGAGGGGAGGAGAGATTGTGTCAGCAAATTCAAAGGAGCTGGTCAAAGGAGGTGCTTGACAGTGATGTCTGATGACTTTCATTTGGCAAATGTATCGCCCAGTCTCAACAGGTGTTCAGAATAATTTAATAATTGTGTGTCCATGGGGATCATAATAGGATTCAGTCTTCTTCTAATCTCAATTATTTGGCATAGGTTTAAAACTTTAAACTTCATTCCAAAATTGGTTGCTTACATTTTCTGCTCTTTATTGAAATTATATTTTGGCATTTTCCCTTCTCTGCTCCCAGATCTGAACAGCCCAAAGAAGAATCTGTTATAGAAGATTTGAGGATTTAACAATATTTAATATGAAATATTTGAGACCTACAAAAGGACCTAAGTAAAAATAAAGTGGGCACCAGTATACCCACCACCCAGATTGAGAAATAAAGCAACCAGTAAGGCGAACCTTGTAGTTGCTTTTAGCATGGCATGGGATCCACATTCACCAGACTTAAGGAGATAAAAAAATGAATGAATAAATAAATCACAAGCAATTGATTTTTTTTTCTTTCTACATCTATGGCTTATTGCATGTGAATATCCAAAGCAATTTTCACTGGGCTAAATTCCGAGTCTTTTTTTCTTTTTTTTTATCTCTTTCATCTAAAGAAAATAGTTTACTTCAGAAATGCTGACACATGCCAGAATCTGTAAAGTGTTAGCATGTGTTGCTCTGAAGAAAAGAAATTTTTTCTCTTTTTTCTTGCTGTTGCTGGATTTGGGATCCTGTCTTTGAATGGTGGGTAGGACTTTCAGTCGTCCCTTCTTAGAAACTGATCTCGTTGTGCTCTGTTTGTATTGTGTGTGTCCTGTTGCTGGGACTATGAGGGCTCCTAGGCCAGAGGCGGTTTTGGTTTTGGAAGGGTTGGGAGGCTGAGGAGAGGACCCAGAGAATGAGGAACCACATCATTTGTTACCTAGACCGCATGAGAGGAGTCTGGGATAAAACACAGTGTCACAGCTACCCCATCGGGTTTACAGACTGTGGACATTCACAGATTCTTGTCTAAGTTTCTTTCTTAGAAAATACCTAACTCTTTATTCTGGGAAAGTGTGGATAGAGAGTTGAAATGAGACACAGCTGAAGTTTCCCAACTCTATTATTCTGTCCACAAGCATCCCTTCAGCCCCCCTATTGCAGAGGCTCTAGCCCCATCAAAGGGAAAAAAAATATTTATAGAAATTGCACAAACTTTACAACACATGCAAATTCTGAAGAGCTCAGAGAAAGGTGTGGGGGTGAGATGGTGTGAATACACCCTCTTATTCTAGGACGTGCCAAAGGATTCTTTTGCTTGCTAACATGCTGTTAGAAAGCCTGGGTGCTTACGTCTGCTAGAGCTGGAGCTAATGTGATTTCAAACAGTCTAATAAAATTCCACTGCTTGCATGTCCTGTGCAGTTCACCATAATGGGATTTGACTGGTGTGTGCTTTAGCTAAATCAGGCAGCCTAACCCCAGATGTAAGGGGTCAGGCTGGATGACCATTAAGGTCATTTCCGGTCATGTGATTTTATCCTTTGGTATAATTTGAATAGACATCTGTCAGAACTCACAGCTAAAGGCTAATATCTACAGCAGGTAGAAGGAGTTGAAAGAAATGGACTCCTGTTGACAGGTATAGTGCTAGACAGTTTACCTACATCATCCAAAGTAGCAAACCTACTCAGAATGCTCGTGTGAACCTCCACTCTCAGGTGCTTCTTCATGTTTTGCTTTTACCACAAATAATACTCGTAATCACAGGAGTTCCTGGTATACATGGCACTATGGACCCACCAGATACTAAATCAAAGCATAATTAGCCCAGGTACCAGAAGCATAAACAGCAATGTAATTCTCAAGTGCACAAATGATTGTTTCCTGCTGTGCACATTAGTTAGTATTGCTTCCTTCATTATGATGTAATTTTTATATTCTTTCTTATTCTTTATAACAATATGGGAATGTACCATTATTCACAGGCTTCCAGATGAGAGATGGTCAGGGGCTCATCTGGGGTCTTACAAGCTCTTCTTCTCCTGCTTTCCACCCAGGTGTAGTACTCATCCAGGAGAATTCTTCAAAGTCTAAACCAACAATGGAAATAACAAGAATTAGCCCTCATTGGTATGTTTGGACCACCAAACTGTTTCTCCAATAAAATACAGAGGATGCAAAATAATTTGGATGATTTTTGCAACACTATGTCACAAATAACACAGTTAAATCAAGCTGTGGAGGGATCGTGTATTGTGGAAGCAGAAGACGAGGAGCAGGAGAGGAATCCACTCCCCTCCCTTTCTGCAGCCACATGCTGCAGAAAGCACTCAGCAGATAGAGGGACTGAGCAGATAGAGGGTAAGAAGCATAGCCTGAGGAGTCCACCAGACCTGGATTTAAGTCCTGGTTCTAGTGCTTGCTAGGTTAGAGCTTCAGATTTCTCACCCATGAGGTGGGGATAATAGAATAGATACTGTGATAAGATTGCCATAAGAACAGTGCCTAGGTACAGTGCCCTCACATAGAGGAGATGCTCAAAAAGTATACTAAAGTCCTGCAGACTTGAGGGCAGGGAGGTGGGTATAGTTCTACCCAGTGCCCTTGAAAGAGCAGTAGGCAGGGAATTCAGGGAACAGCTTGAGGGCAGGTTTCTGACTCTGGGATGTGGCATGTTCACAAGGGCCAAGAACAGAGCAAGGTAATAAGGAGGCAATTTATAGAATAATGCATCCGGCAGGGGCTATCAGATCACCTTCTACAGAGTTCAGAAGGTGAACTCTTGCCATGGTTTTGCTCTGTGGTCTCTCTTTCTTCCTCATCTTCCCCAAAGTAAGTAATTCCCAGAAGGACATTCTCTAGCATCCCTTAGTCACTTTTTTGTGCCCTTAATGTCAGAAACTTCTCCTTGTCAAGGCCTGGACTTGTCCCATCTCTTTCAGTGCAGGCAGAGAACATGTGGTCCCCATGCTCTCACTGGCCCCTGGGTATATTCAAAGACAGTTATTAAATCTCTCTTCTTCAGGCTGGATCAGTTGAATCTCTTAACCTTTCTGAAGGAATATTTTAGAAATCTTAATTCATCTTTGCAGCTCTCTTCTGGACTTTTTTCAAGTTGCACAGACAGATGTAATCAAACCAGCTTCACTTGGTTCTGAAATGATAACATGTGTGTACAGATTTTAGCTTTACCAAGAGCCTGACAGTATTACTTCCATGTGGGAGATGGTGACATTGAGAAGTCAAGTAATATGTCCAAGGCAAAAAGGCTGATTATGGGTCCCTGTTGGGTCCAGATCCCAGGATACGATCTAGTCCCCTGCCGCAAATCATGGCCCCAATAATGAGTTTGCAACATGGCACTGATGTCCCCGCTGCTCTTTTCTATTTTAGTTCTTTTCTTCAGAAAGCTTTTTACAGAAATATAAAGCTCACATTTTTAGCTTTGAATCCAGAGATGACCCAGAGAATCCCTTTTATAAATAAGCACATCTTTCCATTCTCTTAGAAATGAAAGCTCCCTTGGTCCCAGCTCAGGAATGGCTGGATCCTTCTCAGACTCTCTGTAATGTGAATTCATCACTCAGTCCTGGACCTCACTCAAATCAGGTCCTGCCCTTCTCACTAAAGACATTAGGTACACACTCCAAGAGTCTTGTGTTCACGGCAAGCACTTCCTTCAGGGTTGAAATAGAATGTGTAGGTGTGGGCAGCGTGGGGCGAACTTTCTCTTGAAACTCTGTCTAAGCTAAGTGGGCAATATATATCTAGGTAGCATCTCTCAGGTTACAGAGTTCCTACCAGAGCTTCAGTTCATAAGGATCCTACCTCTTTTCTGCTAAATTCGACACTATTTAATCCAATGCCTTCTGGTTATCAGATAATTAAAAAGAACCATCTGTTCAAATGAACAGTAGTCACCAATACACTTCAACAAACCTGCCCAGCTTGGTGTCTGTGCTGGGCTTGGGGAACAGGAAGTGGAGAGAGAAGTGGAAAATGGCATTCACAAGAAGTGTAAATCATGGCCCTTGCCTTCAAGAAGCTTACAAGTCAGTTAGGAATCCAAGACTTGCAGGATGAAAGCATTAAAGA